GGACAAAACAAAATATATTCAGTTTATAAACAAAGGGGGTACTAAATGCAAGCTATCAATTTTATGTAATGACAAGATACTAAAAAAGGTTGACTGTGCTACTTTTTTGGGCATTGAAATTGACGATAAATGTTCTTGGAAACCCCACATCGATAACTTATGCAGTAAGCTAAATAAATTTTCATATGTACTATGGCGACTGTCGAAAGTTACTAATAGACAAACTGCTTTAAAGGCTTATTATGGGTATGTGGCTTCTAATATTAGGTACGGTATTTTAGTATGGGGCAATTCAGTCAAAGTACAAAGAGTTTTTATAGCACAAAAACAGTGTGTTAGAGCCATTATTGATGCTAGTCCCTGGTCCTCCTGTAAACCTATATTTATAGAACTTGGAATATTAACTGTGGCGTGTTTATATATTTTTGATATTTGCGTATTTGTGAAAACTAATATGAATCTCTTTACAACTAAAAAGACTGTATGTAATTTCATGACAAGATTTCCTAATAAGTTGGAATTACCTATTGCGAGAACTAATATTTACAAAAACAGTACGTATGTTATGTCTGTGAAAATATTTAATAACATACCAGAGGACATAAAAATGTTTCCACTAAGATTATTTAAGTCTCGGTTACGAAAATGGCTACAGGACAAATGCTTTTATTCAGTGGGAGAATTTTTAGCAAAAAAGCATATTTAATTTGTAATTATCTTTGGTACTTTACGCGATTTTCAATTTTATAAACATTGACTATTAAGTATAAGAAATGAACATTTGGATTTGATATGAATATGTAATATATTGTTTGAATGATTTTTTTTTTTTTTAATTAATAATATGATGTAGATTTATCAAGGACATAATTTTGAATTTTTTGAGGTTATTTGGATTGTTTTATTTTATATGTTTTCTGTATTGCATGCTGTGTGACAGTAAAATATGTGATACTTTATTTATACTGAATGTGTAAAATAACATCAAACACATATGTAACATCTTATGTACACCATATTTAATGCAAATAAAGACTTCTTCTTCTTCTTCTTCTACAAACTTTCATTCCCTATTTTATCCCCTTGGGGGTAGAATTGATCAAAATCCTTTCTTAGCGGATGCCTACGTCATAACATCTACCAGCATGCCAAATTTCAGCCCGATCCGTCCAGTGGTTTGGGCTGTGCGTTGATAGATCACTATATCAGTCAGTCAGTCACCTTTGAGTTTTATATATATAGATGTATCGGGGAATACAGACACAGGAAGGGAGTTTGAGTGTGTATGCTGTTGGTCGCAGATGACCTTTACAGCGTCACCGGGTTTGGGGACGGCGAGATCCTAAAGGGACCTCAAGCCGAGAATTGGCGAGTACCTCTAGAGGTATTCCAGGCGGATGGCATCTCCCCACGGGGGGGAGTCTCCTCTCCGTCTGCAGCCTCTAGACCACGAGCACCTGAGGGGGATGCGAATCGTAAGAAGCGCAGGGGAGGTATGACAACAACGTATGGAAGACCTTGTCTACGGTCTCGTCGTTCGATGATAATTATTGATGTAAGTAATGTTTTTATGTTACCATAGAAGTCCAACTCAAAACCGGTTTGAACTTAATGTATTTGAAACCCACTTTTCGTACACGATAACTACCTGAGCTTAAAGATTTTTCAAACAATCATTCTGCAAATGATATGAAGCTATTCTGCAAAGGAAACGGTAGCGCGATGTAGTTATATTAATAAAGTACATTGGGCAAAAATGTATGGACGCTGCACCCACGTCCGCCACGGCTTAAACTACATTTGTTTGAAAGGTATTATCATGATATAGTCATGATCATCTGTGCCAAAGCGCATCAAATTCCATCTCGGGGTTCTTTAGTTATTTTAAGTTAAATAGGTACAAGTACTATAACGAGCGAACATTAATGAAACAAGAGAATTCATTAGTTAGTTAGTTCGACACCACATTGGGGGCTCAGGTATTATGGGAGTACTCCACAAGTTGTAAGGTGCCCCCTTAAGTTATTCTGCCGCACTACAGTAAATCCAAAAAACCCCACATGGGTTGGGGGCTTTTCAAACATTCTGTTCGTTATAGTAAACTGTATTTTATGTAAAACGGAGCGACCACAAATCACACAAACTTGTCCACGCTTCGGAGAAAACATGATTCTAGTTCATCTATACTAATTGACAAAACCGATAATCGTTTTCTAATGCCCAAAGCGTGTTAGATAAAAATCAATCAAGTGTCAGGGAGCGCACAATCACAACGAAGTAAGAAGAGTCGACTATTTGCAACTGCAAGTTCTTCAACCCCCGTAAACCATTTTGAGGTGTCTCAGTAAGTGCAAGCGCAGGATGGTCGGCAGGCTTTGTCGTATAACTGGTTGTATAATACGATATGGCATATTATTATGATAACTAATAATATAAAATGAAGGTACTATAAAATGAATTTATTTGGCTACTTAAATATGCCCATGTCATATCTTCATGTCTTTTGACTACCAGGATATTTTTTATGGTGTCATAATAAAAAGGCTAGTTTTTCATAGACCTATCGATTCATACTAATTACATTGTTGGCGGAGCTGGGTGTGTTTTGCCCATTGTCCTTTACATTGATAACTTCATAATGACCATTGTAAATTGAGTGCTTAGACGATAGCGCCATCTGTTGATACAGTGTGTAACTTTTTATTCCATTTAGTTACAGCAGGGAGTGTAGATATCACTGCTATATTACGGTTTATTCTTATTTATTTACAGCCAGTTTTCATAATATAATCAAACTCGAGTACGACAGCTTATCCTATATCCTATAGAGATAGATCCTTAGAACATATCTGTATGTACCCTTTGCACAAACCATTATCCAATTCGAATTATTGCGTGTGCGAAGTGTCAACGTCAAAGGACATCGACCCAAAAGAATGTCCTTCACTATTATTTTTATATTATTTATTTAACTTATTATTAATTAATCATAGTAAACGGACAATCTGTTTAAAAAAAAAAAATAAAAGTTCTGTTACTAGATACCTACTACAGTCTGTTCATCGTAACTTGTCCTATTTGGTAAACAATCTTGGCACACCTTTTTTATGAAAATACAGCATTAAAAATCAACTGATAACTGGATTCAATAGGTTTCAGTCTATAATAACGATTTACTTTAATGGTTTCTTGGCTTCGTTATTATTTTATTTTTAAATGAGTGATTTTGTGAAAAAGTTGTGCCAAGATTGTTTACCTTAATAAACGCAATATAAGCATAAATACCTATACCTATGGTATATAGATATTGCAAATACGTATTTATATTATATTTATAAAAAGATTATTTCTGAAATTATGTAAAGATGGTTTATACTCCCATCCCATATAATTCTGTTTATTTTTATGAAAATCATAATGATAACCAGGTACATACCTAATTACCGATAGTAAAATATAGAAACAGGTAAACGAAGACTTTGAACATTTCATTTGAAAAGAAATCTATTATTACAACAGGTAGGTATAGGTATCATAGGTGCCAACTGCCAACACTCATAAATCAATATGAATATAAGCATTTATTATTTTTATTATTAATTGCATTTTATGTTCATTTAATGCATATTATTTAAGTGCTTACATAGAGGTAAGCACTTAATCTATTCAGAATATATAAAGCGTATATCTTTTACGATTAAGTATAATAATTATAACCTCAAAATCTAATACATTCTGTAGTAGGCCACGGTTCCTCAAGTTGTCCGTATCTCAACAAATGCCTAATTAGAGTTTACTAGCAAACCAGTGAACCAAATGTTCACCAAAACCTGATTTAAAAAATGTATTTAATTAATTGAGAACTTCGGAGATTTTGTGTGGTTTCGTTTGAAACTATTTAGTTAAAAAAAAAATAACCTTTATAGTAATTAGTAATAGTTAATTAAAATTGTGATAATTACAAAATAGAAATCACGTGATTTCTCGAAAACCGGAAGTGCTACGTTACTCAAATCCGGTTTGTAGTCTTATCAGACTATTCTTAACTTATAACTTAAACATTCTCTTTATCTATCTCTTACGGTTTGGCCGCTGAAATAGCACCACAGACGGACGGACGGACGGACTTGTCTAATAGATAAGAGATGAATGATTCCGAACACAACTAGCATTTTCTCATTGCTGTGCGTTCTAGGGCATTTAATGTATGGGGAAAGAGCAATGTCCTTTTGTATGGAAACTTGAACAGCAGCACCACAACAGAAGTAATGAGAACTAAAAATCAGTACACATTAGAATTATTTGAATGGTTGGAGAAGTTTTGGAATCAGTTCAGTTGGTTTTGAGCTTGTCTGTCACTAACATACAAACCTTTCCTCTTTGCGTCTGCGTGGAAAAATGGGTTTTCCATACAAACTCCCATCGCCATTTTCACCCCCTTAAAAGATAATTAAAGGGATAAAAACTACTCTATATCCTTTTCTGGAATTCAAACTATGTTTAAACCAAATTTCATCTAAATCGATTCAGTGGTTTAAGCGTGAAGAGGTAATAGACAGACACACTTTCGCAGTCATAATATCCATGCTAATATTATAAATGAGAAAGTGTCTGTCTGTCTGTCACCTCCTCACGCTTGAACCACTGAACCGATTTAGATAAAATTTGGTATAGAGATACATTGAGTCCCGGGAAAAGATACAGGATAGATTTTTTTCAGAAATCCTCTTTAAAGTAAATCCATCTTTCCACGCAGACGGAGTCGCGTGCACCAGATCTATTAATGTCCCCACTGCTGGGGCACAGGCCTTTCCTATGGATGGAATAGGGAAATTAGGCCATATTTCGTGCAAACATCTAAAGTGAAGACTGAAAGAAAACAACAAAGATTTATATAAAAAAACCAAAAATATATTTTTTCATCTCGCATTTAACGCATATATAGGTACATACATATACACAATCACTATACATCTCTTCTCACGAACAGACACACAGATCTACCGAGGCGAATATTTAGGGTTCTCCGGTGCGTAAGTGAAACTTCTCAACTCGAAAGCGACGCCGTTGCCGTTCTCGTAACAGATTTCGAGCATATTATTGTCTCTTTTCGCTTCTGTATCGTGTTCGCTAGAACCTCCAAAGACGCGATTCGGACCGCGACAGTTGCCGATCCCGTCGGCAATTTTCGACGCCCCGTCGGCAATTTTCGACGCCCCGTCGGCAATTTTCGATTGAGCGTCGGCAGTTTTCGATTGGGCGTCGGTAATTTTCGATTGGGCGTCGGCAGTTTTCGATTGGGCGTCGGCGTTCTTCGATGGGCCGTCGGTAAACTTCGTTTCCCCGTCGGATTTCGTGTCGTTGTCGTCGCTAGGAGCTGTTATTGGCCTAAATATGGAGTGGGCGGTGGCAGTGTCCAAGTCCGCTTTCCGAGAAACTATGATTCGAATGTCTGTATGAAGGTACAGCTTCCCAGACTTTGAAGTCATGAATCTGTGAAAAAGTATAATATAATAATTAATATTCTTTATTGTAATACAGCATACAAGACACACAAGTACACACACAATATAGGCGGCCTTGTTGCTAGGCAGCAATCTCTTCCAGGCAACCCATAATATAAAAATAAAAAAATATGAATGAGAAAAGGAGTTATAGAAAATAATAATAATATTAATGGCAGGAAAACAGATATATAGATATATCTAAGGAAGGACAGAGAGAGGATGAGGAAATACTTAATGAAGGGTATACTTAATATTAATTATAATGATCACAAACACATACATATTTTAAAGAATTTAACTGCTAGATGTTTAAATCTAAAGAAAATGTTACTAGGAAATAATTCCACGCGGATTGGGCAGCAGTTATTTCTTCTTTCAAATGTTTTAATACGTGGAAAGGTATTTATTGGGCATTGTGGGTTACCTACAATGCGAAGAGATTGCGCTGCCTTGTAGCCTAAGAAATACTAGAGAAAATTCGATACGGCCGTCAGGGCCACGGTAGGATAATGGTCAGTGCATCCGCTTGGATAGCGAAGGGTGCGGGTTCGAGTCCCGTCTGCTGCCTGGTCAGCGTGGATTTTTTTCTAGTTGACATTTTCTTTAGATTTAAACCTTATCATATAAGCATTGGTGGTTCAATGGTTAGACGCTCGCTTGCCACGCGGCCGTCCCGGCTTCGATTCCCAACCGAAAAAGAACTTTTTTCATTTGATTTTCCAACTTTCATCTGCATCGTGATTTTACAAAACGACACTACCTTTTTGTCATCATATCGTTATTGTGAACATTATCGACAAACAATCTATCGATAGTCCCACAACACTTATTGTGTGTGTTAAAGTGTGTAACTTTGTTGGAGATCAAATAAATAAATAAAATAAGACATTTCTTATACACATTTATAGTAAGACACATTATTAGTAGAACTTCAATTATAGGTGATTACGACATGCAATAAACACTTAACTAGCAACTTATATTACTAAATGTATTCGACCGTGATTTCATAAAACGACAGCTGTAATTTTTTTTATTCTATCATTACTGTGTACATTATCGACAGTCAATCTATCGAGAGTCCTACAACACTAATGTTACTAATTGTTTTTCTTAATAAATAAATAAATATTTCCAACTCTGTCACCAATTAGCCTAACCACAAAGTAAGCACCGTAAGGCTTGTGTTACGGGATACTAGGGTAACGGATAGAATACATATACTGTACATATATAAGTATATTTATATAGAAATACATATTAAACATCCATGACTGGAGTACAAATGCTCGCGTATTCATCACACAAACATCTGCCCCCACCGGGATTCGAACCCGGGACCTCTCGAGTCGGCGACACCATGAAACCCGGCGTACAAACCACTCGGCCACGGAGGTCGTCAAACGTCTCAATGAACGTATTCGACTCACCTCAAATGTATAATAAAACGACACTATATTTTTGTTATCCTTTCGTTATTATTAACACTATCGACAATCGAATCTATCGATAGTCCTACAACACTAACGTTACTAATTTTTTTCTTAATGAACGTATTCGACTCAACTCAAATTTATAATAAAACGACACTACATTTTTGTTATCCTATCGTTATTGTTAACATTATCGACAATCGAATCTATCGATATTCCTACAACACTAAAGTTACAAAACGTATTCGTACTCACCTCAAATGTATTAAATATCTCAACCATTTGTGTATCAAATGTGGCGGCGGCGCCGGCGCAGAAGCTGGCAGGTACAGAGTCCTCTGCCTCAAGAACGTTCTAGCACGAGGCGGCATTTTGGTCAGATCGTACAGAACTACGAACATTTTGACCAATGTGCCGTGCGGGTTGAACAAGGACACTTGGATGGTCCCAGAACGGGAGACCCGGTAACCGGATGGACCCAAATTTATATGACCCTGGAGGAAAGAACGAAGAAAAACTGAATTAATCTATACTTATAATAAATCTGTAGAGAGGTCAATTCTGTACATGAAATATATTTTCAAAATAACTATCAGGGGGTGATTAGTGATCGATATTAATGCCAAAAATGCAATCAGTAAAATTTTTGTCTGTCTGTCTGTCTGTCTGTCTGTCTGTGTGTATGTTCCTTATAGAAACAAAAACTACTCGACGGATTTTAACGAAACTTGGTACAATTATTCTTCATAATCCTGGGCAGGTTATAGTATACTTTTCATCACGCTACAATCAATAGCAGCAGAGTAGTGAAGGGAAATGTTGGGAAAGCGGGAGAAGTTACTCTCTTTTTTTAAGCTTCCGTCGCGTGTGCAGCCTTAATGGTTAAAGTTACATAGAAATCATGTATGACGGAAATACATAAAATTGTCTAAAAAATATCCCGCAACAGCATATGTCTATCTTTTATGGTTGACTCACAATAACACGTGTAATTATATAAATAAAGTCATTGTTTATAGCACAAGCCTGAGAACATAAACTGTAGTTTACACTACAGCTCTACACCGAAGCGAAGCGAGGGCGGGCCACTTGTATAGAAATAAATTTATAATGCGATTCAAATTAGAATAGGAAAACCAATGACCTCCATCAAATGTCGCTTAAAAAGTACGGTTTGCAAAAAATCTCCAAATACTTTTTTAGCACTCAGCTGATTCTAGAATAAAAACCAAACATTTTTAAACAAACAATAACAAATGTTGATAATTAATATTATTTGTTTTCTTTTACACTTATTGAGTATTGGCTATGAATGGTTGATAACCTAAATCGTCAACCAAATGTCACTTTATGTTGCGTTCAGAAACTCGATTTAAAACTTTAGTTTACTTAAAGGATGCATGTTCGTATGTGACCTGCATGATTATTCATAACTTCTCCGGCGGTAATGCAGAGTTGAGCGAAATTGAAGAGCTAGATTGTGATTAATGTTTTTTTCACACAGTCTTAATAAAGAAATACTATTAAAAATCGGTTGTGTTCTTTCTTAACCTTAGTAAATTAATTTTATTAAAAAATCTGATGTTTTGTCTCACTTAATCTTAGTAAATAAGTTTTATTAAATAGCAACATTTTTTTGCTGACTCTACCTATTTGGTTTGAATTGACAGCTATGACGTCAAAATATGGCGCCCAGTCGGTCCTATTCTTAGTTGAATCGCATTATAGACGCAATTTGTCATTGACTAACAGATGACAGCTAATACTATTTTTGGTTAAAATTAATTTCAAAACAAAAACACAGTTTTAATTGGCAAGATTTAGACTCACTCGTGGCAAATTCGCTAAATCTCAATCCAACTAAAACTAGCTTTAAACATCGATAAATTATGTTTTTAAGCATTTCACTGCTAGATGTTTAAATTTAAAGAAATGTTTTACTAGAATAAATCCACGCGGACCAGGCAGCGGACGGGACTCGAACCTGCACCCTTCGCAATACGGGCGAATGCAATTGTGGGTTACCTACAATGCGAAGAGATGGCGCTGCCTTGCAGCTTTTAAGGCTAGGAAATTTTCGACGCAGCCATCAGGGCCGTGGTAGCATAATTGGTCGGTGAATTCGCCCGGATTGCGATGGGTGCGGGTTCGAGTCCCGTCCGCTGCCTGGTCCGCGTGGATTTTTTTTTCTAGTAAAATTTTTCTTTAGATTTAAACATCGATAAATATCAAAATATAATCCGCACTGGGTCCGTTATCACCCACCAATCCCCTCCGGGCACGTTACCACGCTAGCGCGGCAGGCGTGCTATAATAATGTATAGTAAAATCATTACCATATACGGAGCGTTGGTAGCTCCGCAAGCGTAGAAGAACACGGTGACGGGTAATCTTCTATGTGGGGCACAGAATGCCCCAGAGGCAGCCAGCTCCGCGGTGAAGCCCTGAACTGTCGCCACTGGTTCTAGGCGGCCTTTCAATGCGGATTCTTCGAAGCTACCTGAGTTTGGGGAAAGGGGACGAAAATCAGTTAAATTACTGGAAATCGGGGGAAAAGAGTAAATACTAGAAACATTGTGTAAACATTAAGTGAAAGTACTGGGGAAAAAAGGGAAAAATTTAGTGAAAATACTGGGGGGAAAAGGGGAAAAGATTCAGTGAAAATACTAGGGAAAAAAGGAGAAAGATTTAGTAAAAATACTAGGGAAAAAAGGAGAAAGATTTAGCGAAAATACTGGGGAAAATTTTGTGAAATTCATAAAAAAGTACTGTAAAAACAACAGGGAAAATATGTAATATAACTATATATATATATTAAACAAAGAAACAAGCTTTTATAGCCACTGATTCTTATTGGCTTTTTAGTACGGATTCTTCGAAGCTATCTATGTATGGAAAAAGAGGGGAGAAATTACGTGAAATTACCTAAAAAAGCTAGTAACCGTAGGAAAAGAATATTAAAAAAAATCATTTAAGAAGCTAAACTACTGGATTTGAGAGGACTTTTAAAGCGGATCCTTTGAAACTACCTGTGTATGGGAAATGGAAAGGAAAATTTACGTGAAAATGCAAAAAAAAGAACTTACAAAACCGTGAAAATGGAAAAAAGGTACTGCAAAAAATTTGGGTAAAATACAGAAAAAAGTACTGCAAAAAATTGGGAAAATACGGAATAAAGTACTGAGAGAAACTTAGGGAAAATACGGAAAAAGTACTGCAAAAAACTTTGGTAAAATACAGAAAAAAGTACTGATTTTTTTTTGGGAAAATACGGAATAAAGTACTGAGAGAAACTTAGGGAAAATACGGAAAAAAGTACTACAAGAAACGCAAGGAAAGAATTTGAAAAATCGATTGATAAAAAAAACAAGCACTTATAGCAACTGGTTTTAGACGGCCTTTTAATGCGGATTCTTCAAAACTACCTATATATGGGAAAATAAGGGATAAATTTGGGGAAAATTACAGGAAAATTATGAAGCTAAAGATTTGCACAAATATACAATACAAAAAATCTAAAAAATACCTTAATAAATAAATACTTAAAAAACCTAATAAGTGCATTTTTTAAGTTAACTCAGAAGTTCGATTGTTTTCACAGCTTATAAGGACCGTAGACCGTAGAATATTAGATTAAAATACCTCCACACGTTAGGAGACAAAGGATATTGACAGACAGACGGAGAACAAAGAGATTATAAATAAGAAATAAATAAATGTTTCCAACACTCACCAATTAGCCTAGCCCCAAAGTAAGCACTGTAGGCTAGTATTATGGGATACTAGGGTAACGGATAGAATACATATACTAATACATATATAAGTATATTTATATAGAAATACACATTAAACATCCATGACTGGAGTACAAATGCTCGTATTCATCACACAAACATCTGCCCCCCACCGGGATTCGAACCCGGGACCTCTCGAGTCGGCGACACCATGAAACCCGGCGTACAAACCACTCGGCCACGGAGGTCGTCAAGATTCTATAAGAGTACTGTTTTTCCTTTCGACCTACGGAACCCTATAAATCAACTTTCCAGCTATCACAGTTCATGACATACAGCCAGGTGACAGACACACAGACGGACAGTGGAGTCTTAGTAATAGGGTCCTGTTTTTATCCATTGTGTACTGAACCTTAAAAAAACAGTCCAATTTAACCAATAGCCGACCACTTCGCTCGGAATTTACATTTATAACAAAATCATTATATTTTCTACAAATCTCCCAGTTGCAGCAATTTTCCTTAAATCTCAATTTAACTAAAACCAGATGTAGTCCATACAGTGATGTCAATGTGACGTTCTCACACTTTTCTATGTATAAGGGATAGAAATAAAAATTAGAAAGATGCCGGAAAAAATATGGCGCGTTCGAAGAGATACTACGTGAGGTAATTAGGGTTACCATCCGTCCGGATAAGTCCGGACATGTCCGGAATTTTAGACTTAGTCAATAGGGTTGATGACTAATTTTTTTTTCTTCGTTTATCAGGTAGATTATGAAAAAGTATTGGACACGTATTTTTTCTTTTTTCATATAATATAAACATTGCAGAGATATATTGATTTGAAAAGTCGCATGACGTCACGTTTGAGTACACTTACAAGTGAAAATTCACTCAAAAGTGACGTCACGAGCCCCTACTCCCAAACTTTGACGCGCTATAACTTTGTCATTTTTTGGTTGATTGCCCAAAGAAAAAATACGTGTCCATTATTTTTTGATCATCTAACTGACGGACTAAATAGAATTTCGTTTACTGTACCCCGTCATCACCCCTATTGTCCGAATTTTTTAAATTACTTTGAATATGAATAATTAAAGTACATATTGATTTGAACACCATACCATTGTAACTATGTGAGTAATGGTGCCATAAAGAAAATATAGCTAGAAAAAATTCCACGCGGACCAGGCAGTAGACGGGACTCGAACCCGCACCCTTCGCTATCCGGGCGAACGCACTGACCAATTATGCTACCGCGGCCCTGATGGCCGCGTCGAAATTCTTCTAGCCATTCTTAAGTTGCAAGGCAGCGCCATCTCTTCGCCCGCCTCGGGTGTTGATGCAGAATTGAGAGAGGTGGTTGCAATCATCTTTCCTGATGGCGCATTCGTCCACATCTATTCATAACTGTGTTCATACAAATATTATTGTTAATAAACTGAGAATGTAAAGAACATTAGAAAGATAAACATCGAATAATATAAAACTGTGTTAAGTTAACCCACAATGTCAACTGAATACTTTTACAAGTATCAAACATTTGAAAGAAGAAATAGCAATTATAGCTCTAATTTTTATTTTTATTTTCAGTGCATTCGCCCGGATAGCGAAGGGTGCGGGTTCGAGTCCCGTCTACTGCCTGGTCCGTGTGG